TTTGAATTTCTTCTTTGGAGAACTGTCTGTTCAGCTCCTCTGCCCATTTTTTAATTGGATTATTTTTTGTTTGTTTGTTGAGGTGTGTGAGCTCTTTATATATTTTGGATGTCAACCCTTTATCGGATCTGTCATTAATGAATATATTCTCCCATGCTGTAGGGTACCTTTTTGTTCTATTGATGGTGTCCTTTGCTGTACAGAAGCTTTTCAGCTTGATATAGTCCCACTTGTTCATTTTTGCTTTTGTTTCCCTTGCCTGGGGAGATATGGTCATGAAGAAGTTGCTCATGTTTATGTCCAAGAGATTTTTGCCTATGTTTTTGTCTAGGAGTTTTATGGTTTCATGACTTACATTCAGGTCTTTGATCCATTTCGAATTTACTTTTGTGTATGGGGTTAGACAGTGATCCAGTTTCATTCTTTTACATGTAGCTGTCCAGTTTTGCCAGCACCATCTGTTGAAGAGACTGTCATTTCCCCATTGTATGTCCATGGCTCCTTTATCATATGTTAATTGACCATATGTGTTTGGATTAACATCTGGACTCTCTATCCTGTTCCACTGGTCTGTGGGTCTGTTCTTGTGCCAGTACCAAATTGTCTTGATTACTGTGGCTTTGTAGTAGAGCTTGAAGTTGGGGAGCAAGATCCCCCTACTTTATTCTTCCTTCTCAGGATTGCTTTGGCTATTCAAGGTCTTTGGTGGTTCCATATGAATTTTAGAGCTATTTGTTCCAGTTCATTGAAGAATGCTGTTGGTGTTTTGATAGGGATTGCATTGAATTTGTAGATTGCTTTAGGCAGAATGGTCATTTTGACAATATTAATTCTTCCTAGCCAGGAGCATGGGATGAGGTCCCATTTGTTAGTGTCCTTAACATTTTTATTTTTAACGTTTAACAGAGACCTAGATAGAGACACCTCCCACCTGTTTTGCCAAACCCAGAGCCCCTGCGTGGTGCTCTGGGGCCACCCACCCTTGGTCTGGGTGCAGTGGAGCATCTCTGCCCTGATAAAGCAGGGCCACCCGGCCCCAGCTGGTCTTCCAGCTCTCCCAGTTCATGAGAAATGCCCTGACTTTGAAACTTGACTCCTCCCCATTCGTACAAACACATTGCGTACAGTAGACAAAACGTGTCTGTAGGCTGGACCAACCTGGCTCCCACTTTTCCCAGCTGCTGAGGGCCAGAGAAAGATAGGGACTCACTGAGGCCACTAGTGCTGTTAATACTGGACAGTATTAAAATCTCATAGCCTCATCATCATTTTGTATTTAGTTTAAAGCCATTTAGGAAACTACATGTTCATTTCTTAGGGAGTCAGTGGCAGTTACTTGCTGAAGATTAGCTCTAGAAGTTTCCAGGGTGCACCAGTCTGCGTGTTTGGATTGATCTCCTTTTCTCTCCCACCAGCACTGGCCTGTGTTTGTGGAAGTTAAAGACCTGTTGACGCTGGTGCCGCCCCTGGTGGGCCTGAAAGGGAATCTGGAGATGACGCTGGCATCACGCCTCTCCACAGCTGTAAGTGGACACCTGGGAACGGTCACAACTGCACCACCGAGTCACCCCTCACAGCTCAGGCAGGTAGAGGGACTCTCTGAAAAGAGGAGTGTGGACGAGTTTATTCTGTCATGGTGATCACCCAGTCATGCCTCCCGGCCTCCCACCTGGGCCACAGGCCCTACCCAGTCACCCCTCCCGGCCTGCCCAGCCCCAGGGCCACAGCATCTCTATCTGGTCACCCCTCCTGGCCCGCCCAGCTCCTGGGCCACGGGCTCTACCCGGTCACCCCTCCCAGTCTGCCCAGCCCTTGGGCCACGGCACCTACCCAGTCACCCCTCCCAGCCTGCCCAGCCCCTGGGCCACAGTGTTTACCTAGTCACCCCTCCTTGCCCGCCCAGTCCCTGGGCCGCAGCATCTCTACCTGGTCACCCCTCCCAGCCTCCCACCTGGGCCACAGCATCTCTACCCGGTCATCCCTCCTGGGCTGCCCAGCCCCTGGGCCACGGTGTCTCTACCCCATCACGCCTCCCCGCCTCCCACCTGGGCCACAGTGTCCCTACCTGGTCACCCCTTCTGGCCTGCCCAGCTCCTGGGCCACGGTGTCTCTACCCAGTTACCCTTCCCAGCCTGCCCAATCCCTGGGCCACGGTGTCTCCTTTAACCTGATGGCAGGAGGTCTCTGTGTCCTTGTGCCCTGGTAACCCCAGAGCCACTGGACCCTGAGCCCAGCTCCACGCATTCCCATGGAAGGAAGCCAACATGAGCAGTGCAGGCTTACTGGAGGGTTTTGTAGAGAAGATGGAGAATTTACGTCACCATGGAAGTGATCTCTTTTAGGGGAGTTTGTCCTCTGGAATGGCCCTCCAGTGCCCCATCACTGGAGGTGTCTTCTGGGCTCTCTAATAAACACAGCTTCTTACCTTTTCACTCTGCACCCCTCCTGGCTATTTCAGGAACCAATGTTCTCTGTTTTCCATGATGCAGAATCGTTTCTCTCTCCTCTGATGCCCATCTGACATCCAGTATATGAAAAGGGCCTGTGGCAAGAGGAGGTGTGGTGTGTTCAAGAAACAGAGCAGTGTAGGTGGAATCTGCAGGTGAGGGGTTGGGGCTGCCTGGAGAGATAGGTGAGGGTGGTCAGCTACATTGCAGCACTTGAAGATATATCTATATGCTAATACGTGGAACCTGTGAATGTTCCCTTTATGGAGGAGCTCTTTGCAGGTGTGATTAAATTAAGGTCCTTGATGTGGGACATTATCATGGGTGATTCAGGTGGGTGCATCTCAAGGGTCCTTATAAGAGGGAGGTGAGGGGATATTTGAGACAGAAGAGAAAGGCCATGTGAGGGAAGCAGAGTCAGAGAGGGAAGGTGCTATGCACTTGGCTTTGAAGATGGGGTAAGAGCAAGGAGCCAAAAAGTGGCATACTGCCTGCAGGAAAGGGGAGGAAACAGGTTCTCCCTAAAGCTTCCAGAAGGAGGAAGGCCCTGTTGGTGCTCCGTAAGACTCGTTTCAGACTCCTGGCCTCCTGAACTATAAGAAAACGCCTTTCTGTTGTGTTAAGCTGTGAACGTGAGATCATTTGTTACAGCAGTGATGGGGGACTAACACATGGGGCCAGATCATTTAGAGCCCTGTAGGACATTGAAATGTTTTTCACAGCTGAAAATATGCAGATACAGACACACATGCATGCGAGTGCACACACATATGTGTGACTATTGGTCAATGTTTGGGAAAACTGTTGGTGCGTCTCTGCCATGGTGGCATTTCAGGTGTTAACATTTTTATTTCATAAGGTTTAACTGCATTTTAAATACTTTTCTACAATAATCTTATCTTAGGTTTTTTTTTGGTATAATTAATCTACAGTTACATGAGCAACATTATGGTTACTAGACACCCCCCATTATCAAGTCCCCACCACATACCCCATTACAGTCACTGTCCATCAGTATAGTAATGCTAAAGAATCACTA